AAACAAAACAAAAACAACAACAAAAACAAGCTAGTTTATCATATAATGCTGTCTCTACCCTCTCTCATTCTCTTTGCTTACACTGGCTCCACATTTTTTTCCTCTGAAAGTGATGTTTGTTTTGTTTTATATTCCCAGGGGCTTGGAGGGCAGTGACTATGGCAGCGTCAGCCACATTTGTCCTCCTTAATTGGCTCCATATTTAAGACTGAAGGAAAAAAAACTCAGTTTTTTCAAACTGCTACATACCACGGAGATCCCAGGCCCTAATCTGGGTAGACATTACCTGTCGTAGCAACTTTTGTAGTGTTGCAATATTCTCCAAAGATAAACAAAAGGCATCTTCATCTTCACACATCACATCTCTTTCAAAGCTGGTATGTGGGACGTGATCTAATTCTTCCATACACAGTATGATCTGCCTCTTTATGTTGACAAACTCCTCGTGCCTAGATGCCTATAAAACAAAACTGAATTACGAGATACCTGGAGGAAAGACGAACAGACTTTGAGAAAGCAAGTGTACCTTTGTTTCCCTCAAAGTTGCCACGTGCTGTCTGAACTGGCTCAGCGCATCCAAGCTAGGAACTGAGGCACTGTCAATGTCATAGTGGGGCATGCAAAGAATTTCACACAGTTCCTGATCTTGTTCTTGAAGTAATTTCAGTTCCTGTTTTCTCTCCCTTTTCTGTTTTCGCATCAGTTCCACCTGAGTGCGCAAATCCTTTTCTAGTTGCAAGATGGTCGTCTCTCCTTCTTCCTGCTTAAGAAAATGTTATAAGGATCCAAGTGCATTTCTTGAAGAGAAGGGCAGTGGAAGAGGGTAAGGATGAGAATTTAAGTTAAACATACAAATAAGTCAACTCATGGCCAAAAGAATATAGCACAAAGGGAATTCCCTAAGGAAGGCCTCCAATAAAGAATGGATGGTACCACGCATTTTGCTAAGAGATGAAAACTGGTTGGAAGGCTGGCTAACTACAGGGCAGCATGTTCGCTTGTAACTGAACACTTATCTTAATAATCCTAAAAACATCACCCAAACAAAAATGAATTTGTCTTGCTCTCCTCACTATAAACAAGAAAAAAAAAGTGGCAGTTACATGTCTCATAAATTTACAATTTCATTAAACATTGGTAAACTAAGAATAAGAACTGTCACGTATTTAAGGGAGATCTTCCACTATATACCTAACTTTTTACCTAATTTCACATCAGAAAAAAAAAAAA